TTACACTAAGAATATAAAGACAAAAACTTATATCATTTGTACAATGTGTTTGTGTTTTAAGTATTATTGCAAAAGAATAAAACGTATTCAAAAAATCAAAAGTTTATAAATTTAAAAAGTACAGAAAGCTGAGGTTTTTACTGAAGAAATATATTCTTTGATAACTGTAGGGCAGTGTAAGTATACAGTGTTTATAAAGTCTATAGTAGTGTACAGTAATATCCTAAGCATTCACATTCACCTCCCACTCACTCGCTGACTCACCCAAAAGCAACTTTCAGTCCTAAAACCTCCAATCAGGGTTAAGTGACCTAGATAGGTACCAAAAAAATCTTTTATGCCATATTTTTACTATCTGTTTTCTATGTTCAGATATGTTTAGACACACAAATACTTACCATTGTGTTAAAATTGCTTACAGTACTCAGTACAGTACAGTACCATGCTATACAGGTTTGCACCTTGGGAGCAATAGGCTATACCATGTAGCTTAGGTGTATAGTAGACTACATCATGTAGGTTTGTGCAAGTACAGTCTATGAGGTTCACACAAAAACAAAATTGCCTGTCAGTGCATTTCTTAGAACATATCCCCATCATTATGTGAAACACACATATAACTGTGTTATACTCTCCTGTGAGGACTTTGACAGCCTAGCTGAAAATACATACTGGAAGTGCTTGAAATATCCCAAGGAGACCATGCAAAGACTGTGAGTGAAACTATTACAAAAGGCATAATGACAAAGAATGAGGATAGCAAATAAAGAATCAGGGGGTAATTCAATGAACAAAAGCTTATTAAGAGGACAGATTTTGTTTGGCAAATAGGCTGCATTTAATCCAAAGTGAGTAGACAGAAACGCTCGGATATCGGTGATAAAAATTTGGGGGATTAATGAAATGAAGACTGTTAGAAATGCATTTTTATAAGCATTTTGTTCCGAAAAATATTTCTTCTGGGATTAATACTTGTGGGTTGTGTCTAGCAGTAGGAGGCTTAAGCATCAGCAGTCAAGTGAATAGTCAGGACACAACTTTAATCGCGTTACTCCACTGAAATGTTTTAAGGATGCATTGAAGCAAAAATTCAAATGACACAGCACAACTGTGTACTCTAGGAGAGCAACAGCTGTAGTCAGACCTCCTGGCAGTTACTTATGGTTCCTGTCAAGCAGTGCTATCAGACAAATTTGATTTGTTGCAGTTAAATGATGGTGTCACAAAGAAAGCCAGGGTGGTTTTGAGCTAACAAGGCTAAAGGCAAAGTTCATTCAGAAACAAAGCTAATCTTTGGCCAGGCATGGTGGCTCACACCTGTAATCCCAGCACTTTGGGAGGCTGAGGCGAGTGATCACCTGAGGTCAGGAGTTCAAGACCAGCCTGGCCAACATGTTGAAACCCATCTCTACTAAAAATACAAAAATTAGCCAGGCGTGGTGGCATGCATCTGTAGTCCCAGCTACTTGGGAGGCTGAGGCAGGAGAATCACTTGAACCCAGGAGGCAGAGGTTGTAGTGAGCCAAGATTGTGACACTGCACTCCAGCCAGCCTGGGTGACAGAGCGAGACTCCATGTAAAAAAAAAAAAAAGAAAGAAAGCTAACTTAGTCATTCTCTTTTATACAAACTTTAAAAATTTTTTTGGCCCTTATCATATCTCTTTTCTATTTCTTCCATAAGTACAAATTGATTATATTATTAGTAGCCATTAATCATTGGTAACTCATTGTTTCCAAATGATCTGCCTTAAACATAGTTTTTGAAATGCCCAAATACTGTTGGAATTCTTTTGTGGCCTGGTTAATCCAAACAAGAGTTCACAAGGCACTTTTCCCAGAGTATAAGTGCCCTCTCTTGTAGTGAAAGAAATCATTTCAGGTTTTATATTTTACATGGTCTATAACAGTTACTGATGTTATTCTAAGTAAATATTTGAAAGTACAGTGTGCTGAGGATTCTGCAAGTGATGTCAAATTATACAGAGTTGACAGTATCTGCACAATTATATTGCATGTTTTACATAAATTATATTTCTTGTAATGAAGCAGATGTTTTGGATAGAATATCGCAATGGTCCACATTCTTACAGAAACCAGAGGTTTATTTCTTTTAATCTGGGCCACATCCTCTGCCCACTCATGCTCTAGAGATGAGTTATGTTGGCTTTATGGTGGCTCTGCCTACAAAAGAGTTTATCAATTCTCAACATATGGTCAGAATAATATTGTCAAAACTTAAGTCAGAAAATTTTATTCCTCTAATCCAAACCTACCAATGGCTTCCCATTTCCTTCACTTCCAAGGCTTAACTCAATCTTGCCCCTGTTACTTCCCTGAATTCAACTCTTACTGCTTTCTGTCTCTCACCACTCTAACTATACATATAGTTCCAGGCTTACAAGGGTTTGACTTATGATTTCTCAACTTCACGATGGTGAGAGAGCTACATGCATTCAATAAAAACTGTATTTCAGATGTATAATTCTGATCTTTTCCTGGGCTAGCAATATGCAGTATGATACTCTCTTGCAATATTGGGAAGTGACAGTGAAGCTGCAGCTCTTAGCCACACAATCTCGAGCATAAACAACCAATACTTGATATCTTCCTAAATCTTTGCATGCTAAACCATCAACAAGTATTGAGGCTCCAGTGACTTCTACCAGCCATTCTTGAACTTTATCACAGCAGGGAGAAACTGAAGACCTTGTCACTATAATGTATTCAACATCCAGCAGTTGATTTTGATTCAATATTTCAGACATTCTTCAGGCTCAGTGTGCTTTCAGCTGTGTACATAAAGAGTTAGTACTCATACCAAAATTGTGTTTTTCACTTTTGGTTCAACATTAAATAAATTACATCAGATGTTTAACACTTTGTTACATAATAGGCTTGGCATTAAATGATTTTGCTCAATTTTAGGCTAATATACGTGTTGTGAGCTCATGAAGGTAGACTTGGCTAAGTTATGGTGTTCAACAGGTTAAGTATATTAAATGCATTTTCAACATACAGTATGTTCACTTTACGACGCATTTATTGGAACACAACCTTATTGTAAGTCAAGTTGTACCTGTATTGACTTCCTTAGTGTTCATGTAACACACTGGCCACACTCCTGTTTTGAGTTGAGTTCTTCTTCCTTATATCTAGCATGCTTTCCTTGCAGATGTTTTCCATGGCTTCCTTCTTCAGGTTCTTCAAGTTTTTCTTCAAATAGCACTCCCACAGTTCATTTTTCCCTATTTTAACCCTCATCTCCACCCCCACACTTCTCCATCCCTTCTTTATCTTGTTTTCCTCCACTAAAATTAACAACTTCTATGATACAATATAATAACTTATTTACATTTTTGTTTTTCTCTCCCCAGGATGCTGATTCAATATATACTGAGAACTAACCATGAATTTCTCCTGTGAATGTCTAAAACATAGTGAGACTTTCTTGTCATATTTGCCTTAGCCATAGATTATCACATAGTCAGAGAGAATTACGTTTCTAAATTCCAGGATATAGGGAGACAAAGAAACCTGGTAAACTGCCGAGTCTGATCCCCTCATTTGACATCTGATGAAACTGAGGCCTGATAGGCTACTGACTTATTCCGGGTACCTAGAAACAATTCAGTAGAGGCCGTAGCAAAACATGGGCCTCCTGCTTTTAGGTTTGAGGATCAGCAAACACCTTAATATAGAGGATAAGAACACCACTTTAGTGAGAGAATGCCACATTTCAACCCTCCCTTTCTTACTTGTTAACCCTCACTTAGTCTTTAGAACAAGGTACTCAACCATCCTGAATCTTAGTCATCTCTACAAAACTGGAAAATAATATTCACTTCATAGATTTGAAGTGAAGATTAATCAAGTTAACTCATATAAAATATTTGGACCTGACACATTGTATGAATGTTAATAAGTGCCAGTTACTGTTATTTTTTAGATATTCACTAAATTCATCACATTACTAAGAATCTTTGTTGCTATGTTGTATATATAGGTAGATATAGAATATATTTTATATGATAATGTGTGTCTATAAATTAGTGATGCCCATTTCCAACACATGAACTAATTTAATTTTTACAGAGGTGAGTTCAAACTGCATAAGCATTGGTTGATTGCTATTAGCAACTATAACATTTAATGCCAAGGAAACTATAATTGATTTAATTATGCCCATTATGGTATCTCCTCTAAGGAAGTGCTGTCACGAGAATCAAACTCAGAGTTAAAACAATAATTATTTATGCAAATTGTGTTTAAAAGACAATCATAGTACAGTCATACATATAATCTTTTCTGCAAATAAGAAAAGTGATACTCACAATAGCACTCATTGAAATAATTGGGCATTTTAAGGACAATAATACACAGTATTTTCTTAGCTTATATGACTAAATGTAACATAACTTCAAAAATTCAAAACATAATTTTTACTACTAGAGAATATTTCAAAGTTTTCTAGATTTTTGAGGGACAGATTGCTATTTATTCATTTTTTAAATATAATCAGTATATCAAATTAATATGTGACTTGTTAAAAAGTTTCCAAAATTTACTGATGCCAGGGGGCAGTTCATGAGTATTTTAAAGTCAGTGTTCACTGAATTACTTCACCATTAAAAGTACTCCTTTGTAACTGAACATGCATCTGAAAGAGCAGCTGTTTCATGACATATGTAGTTTTCCACAAACCTGGAGCCCAGGGCTGCAGTGCCTTTGATAGAGGGGCAAATAATTGCTGCAGTAACAGTTCTATTTAAGTGGGCCTTGCAAGGTAGCCCTCACTGGAATTAGTTCTTTTAATTTTCTTTGACCTATGCAAGTATTTCACAAGGCTGCAATTCTATAAACAGGGATTCCCATCATGATTGCCAGCGAACACTGCTTTGATCGGAACATGTGGTTTCGTAGATCAGAGCCCTCAAGCTAGAATTCATGCTGTCAGCTAGAAACACACCATATGGAGTTTCTCAATTGCTCTAACTCTTACCTTATTGAGCCTAACTAGTTGTTGTTGAATAGAACAAGGAAATGTCTTGATTCAACAGCAGGAAAAATTCTGAAAAAAAACCAAAAAAACTTTGTTTAAAGACTTAGCAATATTCTAAAGATTTTCTAGTAGAAGCAGTTGAAGCACAACTGATATACTTTCTTCTACATACAGTATTTCAAATAATAGATATTCCAGTTCTTTCAACAACTATAAAAGATCCAGTGACACATAAAAACTTAGATTGCAATGCTACTAATTCTTACTATTTACCAAGTATAGCTTAGATGCTCAAAAAGATTCTTCTCATCTCTGTGACACATAGATTCACAACATTTTATGTTCAATATCAAAAACACATATTAAGCTACAAAATATATGTACCTTTATGTATATTATATATATATTTTTTAATATACAACACAGGATACTATTTATGATCCCATGTTTCAATGTCAAATAGTTTCATCCTTTTATATCACTCCTTGTTTCCTTTATATTTGGGGTCTATGTTAAAGATTAAAGAAAACTTATTTATGAAACCACATTGAAATGACAGAGGTCTAAAGATTGCATAAAATGGATGTACATAAATTTGTTAGTCCCTATAAAATAACTACTTTCATCCGTAAAGTTTAGTTATAGGAGAAAATATAGTAAAAGGGAAATGTCTTGGACTTTGAGTTAACCCAGCATGGGATCAAATTCGTCCATTTTGAGTTTTTGTGACCTTGGCTAAGTTCCTTAACTTGACTGTATACCTCATCAATCAATCATCATTTGTGGTCTGCTATATAAGAAGAGGTATAACTTTGTCTAACTCTGAGTGATGCAGCTCCCTTCAGACATGGACAATTCCAAAGGACGTAGTTAGTTTCCAACCTTCAGCAGACAGCATTCCCAACAGTGGAAGGTGGGATAATACTTCCGTTCAGAGGGAGGATCAAGGCAGAACACCACATTGCTTATGAATGCCAATTATTCTGCTAACCCCTCTATTTTCAATACCAACTGTTTCAATCCCAAATACTAAGACTCTCCTCTCTAAATTTTACAGGTTGAGGCCATATAAAAGTACTCTCCTTAATTGTGATTACCTTACACTGTTTTGTAATCACTGACTTCTATACACAAATGATATGGTAAAATAGACAAGCAGTAGTTCAGGAACTAAGAGTGTGGGGTTTGGAGCTAAACTGTTTGGATTCATGCCTTAGTTCACTAATCATTAGGTAGAATAAATTAGTGAGGGTTTATCTCTCTATGTCTTGGTTTCCTAATCCACAAGATGGTGATAACTATTTCTTAGGTGGTGAGGATGAGATGAGTTTAATAATATATGGAAAGCTCTTATCAGCATCTGGCATGAAATAATCACCATGTAAGCATCAGGTTTTATTACTATGTTTCATGCTTTAAAACTTCTTCAATATCTTTCAGTATTTATTACTATACTTAACTTGTTTTCTATGGCAATAGAAGAAAATGAGTTCAAAACCTAGCAATATGGTTGAAGACTTATAAAACATTCAAATCCCTCTTAGAGTGACTGTTTTATTAAATAAAATGTGGATCAAAGTAATACATCCTTTCTGCTTAGCAAGTTTTTTTTTTAAATCATATATGTGATTGTTACTTGTATGTTCATATACTTCTGAAAACATTCTATTCTCCAGCTAAGTGAATTCATTTTACATGCTCCCAGTGCATCATGTTTTCTCATGTCTCAGGTCTGTTGCATCCACACTGTTGTGCCTAAAATTCCTGCCTGTTTTCCTCCCATCTTTTGACTTTACTTGCCCACCATGTTTCAGTTCTATTCTTTCCCAGGTCTCTAGCACCTCAGTTAACACCGAACACTCACACCCCCAGCACTCTCCTGAAACTCTGTAATTAAGAGTATCATCACATTTATCCAACAGTTTTGTAATTATCTGGGTTTTTTTCTTTGTTGTTTTGATTTGTTTTGTTTTCAGATGACTCTACAAGATTGTTATTTGAGAGATAACATGAGAAGAAATGCCAGATATAGGTGATGGCGGGATGGAAGCAGCAAAACACCTTGCCATGTATGTACCTATGCAACAATCTTGTATGATCTGCACATGTAGGCCAGAACCTAAAGTACAATAAAAATAAAAGTAATAATAATAATAAATAAAGTAAAAAAGGAAAGTTATAATTATTGTTTGTGTATTTGTTAGTTTGTTTTAAGACAGGACCTCATGCTGTCGCCCAGACCGGAGTGCAGGGACATAATTGTATCTCACTGCAGACTCAAACTCCTGTGCTCAAGTGATCCTCCCACCTCAACCTTCCAGCTAATGTGTTTTTGTTTTATTTTGTTGTAAAGACAGATCTCACTTTGTTTCACACTCAACACAATTCCTGGCCTCAAGCAATCCTCCTACATCAGCCTCCCAAAGCACTGAGATTACTGGCGCCTGGGCCCTTATTCATTTGAATAATGAGCGACTGGGCCCTTATTCATTTTGTTGATATTCCCAAACCTAGCCCTGCATCTGGGTTATGTAGGAAGGAGTACAGTGGAATAGACAGAAGGGGGTTTATGGACTGGACTGAATTTTTCAAAAGCAGTTGGATCACAGGACATGACTTAAGATAACTAACAAGTAAAAATGCATCTAATTTCTACCAAAATTATAAAAACCGATTCCTCCAAGATTGAGTTTTTCAACATTACTTCAAAAGTATAGATATTGTTTTCCTCAACATCTTAGTCAGAGTTAGTCAAACCCCGCTCGGTATTTCTAATGGCTTCTTTCAAAAATGTCCACAGTTCTTATGATTTTTCCTACTAAAGATAACAAAAGAAAAACTTGAAAGCAGAACAAAGAATACCTGAAGAGACTTAGAATGTAATAGATGTTATATCACCCTAACTGTAAGTACACACACAACCACGACCACAGATGAAAATTGTGACAAAATCAAATTACTTTATGAGTAGCTCTACAGCCTGTCAAAAATTTTTAGAAGCCCAGTTATCTGTTTCCTTGTATTTGTATTTACACTGTATTGTGTTTGGAACTATAGCATTTGGTTAATCTTATTTTCCTGATGACTGCCACAGAGTGAAAATAAGAGACTAGGACATGGGGGCATCATAGAAGTCCCCATTCTTAAGAAACCATAATAATACTTAGGAATGGCTGTATTATTAGATTTCTATTTAGAAAGAAAAAATGTATATATTTTTGAGAAATAGAAACTCTTTTTATTAGACTATCTATACCTTATTGTGTTATTTTTTTAAATCCTAAATTTTATGCTGTTGTTTTGGGGGGATCTGGCCACCACTGTATCTTTTAACTAGCGAAACGTTTGACTTTTACATTTACTATAAAAAAGAAGTTTAAAATAAGAGAACAAGAATTTCAAAATAAAATGGACCAAATTATGTTTAGTAATACACTCCTTCCAATTTACATGCTTTTTTTTGACTTTGCAGAATTACAAGTAGTGCTTCTAGGTCAAATGAAGTTTCACATGCAAGGTTTGGTAAGTTTCATTCCTTAATTTCTCTCATTTAAACCTTCATTAAACCCCCAAATCTAGCTATTCTCTTCTAGAGATCAGTGGTCCATGCTTTAATAAGTAAGAATAGAAATACCTCTAAGTGACCCACGCATATTTTTGCAGAAGTATAGGGATAATGATGTTGCTTTACTTTTAGCAGTGATATAAAGTTCACTCTCAATTTTCTAGTAGTGATTGTCCATTTTCCTCATTATTCCAAACCTTTAATTCTTCTCCCTTTTTTCCTGTCCTAACATTTTGATACTTGGCTGTGTGCCAGCAGAAAATGAAAAGGAAAAACAATGAAATATAAAATATAAATAAATATTATGTTGTCATTACTAGCTTTTTAAAAATGAAACTATATTTAAATAGTTACAGTAATTTTTGTTCTCTTACTTTGTCTTTGTAAATTTTTTTCTTGCATTGCACTAGGGAAAAAATGGCCAAGTCATTTAACAGCATAAAGATTCCAAAGGAGACAATTAAAAATACCCAGTAGGAGAAACTTGCAATAATTTTAGCACATCAATTATTTATATAAAACAAAGGATTTCTAATCATGCAAATTAGTCACATATCAATTAAAGTCACACCCTACAGGGCCTCCACATGAAATCATTTATTAGATCAATTTAAATTACTATATAAAGTTAAAATTAAAACATTTATATATTCTACAGTTCTGACATGTTCCTATTTTGTATTTGAATTCACTGCCAATGATTTTGAATTTATGAGGCCTTCTTCGAGTTTTTTCAGTTCTGTTTAGTTATTATTAATTATTCAATGACTATTTTTTATTCATATATAGCATAAAGGCAGTTCCTTTCCCACCACACAACGAAATATCTTGCATATTGATATGAAGCTAAACTATCTAAAAATGCTCTTGCAATAGTCATAGATAGTTCATTCTCACAGGTCAGTATATTCTGGTCCCAACTTGTCTGTCAAACCAGTCTTCCCACACCTCTTCAATTCTTAAACTCCATACTATTTAGGTCAGTCCTGTTTAATTTCTCACTAACATTACATGAGACATTTAAATCCATTTGCTAATACTCATTGGTAATGTGCTTGCTTTAATCCAGTGGGATTTTTTTCATAGAATGTGAATATACTGTTAATTCAGGTAGTCATGGTTTCATATAATAAAACTGTTACCATAATAAGAAAAATTATAGTGACAACAAAATGTCAATCCCTATGTATTAATTACAGTGTTCTGTGTTTTTAGTACTTCACATATATTATTATATCAATTGGCTCCTAACAACAACTCTACTTATGAGACAGATATCATTATTTTTAGACAGATTTTCTTCTAAGAAAATTGAGGACTGGTAGATGAAAGTTGAGCAAGGTGTCAAAACTGGCAAGTGAAGAATATGGAGATCTTAACCCAGACACGGGCCCACGGTGTGCTGTTTTAATGAGAAATCCATGCTCTCCTTGATGCTTACTGATGCCTGTAACTTTGTGTAAGTGACATAACCTCTCCAATCCTTTATTTCTTCCTTTATAAA